TCAACGGCAAATACCATGCATGACATTACCGGGTGGGACGAAAGGAAAAACACCTAAATCCCAATCCATCGAAACTTCCAAACTCGCTTTATAACTCACTCAAGAAGTGTTTTAGTTCGTCAGTGGAGAAATCAGTTCACTCCTAGCGGATGAGGTTCAGGTCTATACCCCGATCCAATTGGTGACCTGTGACGAATGAAGCACCGACCACATTGTGGAATACGATTAGTAGGATTCACTTTAAGTGGGGGGGGTATAGTTTCCTATTCGGTTGTTTCAGGAAGTGATTCAGTTGAACCGCGTTCAAATTCAGTTAATTGGTGCACGTGTCCCATCGAAGTGCGTGAATGCGTCGGTTGACGGACTTTGCAAACGAAGTTTTCATTTTTGGTTGAATCCTTTTCCTTTCACGCTTTTCATTCACACAAGAAAACATGAGCAAAACAGACAGTGGCCATTAATTTCGCAAGCTTCCTCTCCTTCACTTGTAAACGCACAGTTACTCAACAATGTCAAACAAAGAAACGTGCATTCAAACTGGACAAGTGAATTACGTAAATGCGTTTGTTTGTGGGATAAGTTCAATCAGAGAAAAAGCTGTTGNTGCACGGGTAGGAAGAGAGGGAAGCCTGTCACCATATGGTAGGGCGACGTCTGATGTGACGTGACCACTGCCACGGCGGTAACTCTGCAGCGATTTCAAGCGTTAAATAACTGTTGCTTTAAAAAACCCACAAAATTCCAACTTTCCGGGTATAGTATTGACCTGAAACGCCTTGAGTGTGTTGGTTTCGTGCTCGGTGTTTTGCAAAAGCCGTGCAACTGCGCTCGATGATAGTTTCCCCCCACTAAGGTCTTGCTGTTTTGGAACATCTTCACACATTCTGATTGATAAACCACTTCGTGTCCGTTCGATGTACCTCTGACCAAATATACATTCAAACGAGTAGATAAACTTAAAGGTGTCACTAACTTCTCAATCCAGATTAGTGTGGACCAAACAATGAAATGCTCCGTATAGGAGTCGATTAACCAGAACGTCATCAAACAGTTATTAGGACTCAAATTCGCACTCTGATGTGAGTTTGATATTTGGATGCAGACGGTTCAACTTGCGGAGTAATGTCTTTGCATTAGTTTCGTTGCCTGCAATAACTGATGTCTCATGGACATGTCGACGGTGTAATAGGCTTAAATTCTGCTCATCTTTCAGTTCTTTTTTCTAATGTTGACAAAATTTCAACCAAAAGCTAGCCCCAACGCGTGTCTCATAACTACTTCAATAACTTATTCATAGATATTTCCGTTGAACATGAACGAGCACGAATTTAGCGGAGGTTACAAATCACTCGCGTTCGCATACTTCGTTCACAGTTGTGAACTGTGATGCACTACCGTAGGGGGCAATGAAACCATTGTAATATTTTAAGTGGGATTGATAGTAATTGTCTTAGTCGAAATGCGTCATTCAGTCCGAACTTAGACAATTTTACACCCCTTGTAGTAATGAGCTTATTCAGCCATTGCTCCAGTTTGTGTTGAAAATAATTGACCATTAAATCAATTCATAGTAGTGGTTTTCCAGTTTTGTGCAGTCTCGGCAATTCGTGCAGTTTTTTCGCTAGGTGTGAACTCCGAGGTCTCAGTTTAATTTAGGAGTTTCAATCAATCAAACGTGTCCCCGGTTTTCAACTTCTTTGTTTCTTTTTTTGACTTGATTGTGTAAAAATGTGAGCTTACTGATGAGAAGGCACACGAAATTGATGGCCACAACCCATTGTACCCAAACCCGAGTTTACGTTTCTTGGTAATGTTGATGAATCAGAAGTAAGGAATGTATCGAGTAGATTGTTAACAACATCATAGTGACCTATTCGCGTTATCAGTTCCACTGATTAGTGCATTGTTTACCGCAGTCGTTTATTCGATCTGCATCGTCCAGTCATTCCTCTAAATTAGTCAGTGTTCTTCGCAGGGTTTTTGTTTGATCTTTTGTAAGCAACTGCATTATTCATATTATCACTTTGACATATTCTGTGAGCAAGCTAGAATCATGGTGTTCATCTGTATTTTTTGCAGTGGATAGAGGTCCACATGTGGTCGGGGCGCCCGAGTACGTGCATGAGGTATTCTTCTTCTCTTTTGCCTCTTTGTTTTCCCAATTTCCTCGTTTTTAGTTAATTTCTTTACTGAACATTTAATCGAAACGCTCCTCATTCTGTTTTTAAAGCGAGCTACCTCCATGGCTTTTAGCCACTTGGCACATAAGGCAGTGCACGTAACCGACTGAAACCATGTTGCTGACTCGTGTAATACGCTCACTGAGTTTTCCTCTCCCATTGTGTCACAATTTTGCAGATCTTGAACCGTTTCATACGCATGTGTTGTCTGGTTTCGTGTCATGCTAATATCTTCAGTATCAAAATTTTCTTCCTCTCTGTCTCTCGCCAGAACCATATCCGAAGGAACTGCGCGCACAAGTTCACATCACCTCCGTCTAAATGGTTCTGGAAACGAGATTCTACCCTATTTTTATACTTCTCTATTTGCATTGGGACATATTTTACTCCACTTTGGACGCTAATGAGCAAAATAAAGATTTTACAGTCAGACTGGAAACGAATTTTACCCTTGAAGATGAGAGGTTAAGTTTGGCCAATCATTTTGATGGAATTTTCGAGAATCGATTAAAACGGCCGAGATTTCAAGGACCTCCATAAGGAGGCTCTGTAGAAGTTGATTTTGCTCTTTCAGCTGCTTATTCCTAATAGCCATTATGTTTATGGGTATTGAAACCAACATGTATTACCTACGCAGTATAGGAAGATAGTACGTGAGCATTATATTCTTGTTTTACTTCAGGGTATATATATAGCAAGGATATAGTTTGATTCCTGACTGTCTTCCAGCCTATTTTCGTGTGGCACTTTTACAGCACGCTACCACCAACAAATCCTTTGGAATACTGAAATCATCTAGCCCCAATACGATGTATTTACGCACTCTTGTCCGATAAGGACTAACAACAATACTTATGATTGCGGTCTGTTATCACGTTCTTCAGTGTATCCGACCCACCAGTTACGGTGTCTTTCGGAGCCCAGGATGGATGGTAAGACACATCCAATCGCGCTATGGATTTCTTCATGCCATGTGTCCCTGTTGTTGACCCCCAAGTGATTTTCTCTAGCCTGCCAACTTCGATAGGATCTGCTGCCGTAAACCGTTGAGCATTCGCAATACTTGCCCCAACGAACGAAGCCCACTAGGCTGAATTGGAGGTGGTAACGAATTTTCCGCCGAAGGCTGTCGGTAAACACGACGACTTAACACGGTGTTGCTATCCCACTCCCTCTGTCACTGCCCAACTGTGAAAACATTTATAGTCCCTGGATGTCTTTCACAAGTTAACAATAAAACACGAAAGCAAAACATAAGCGATGTTTCAAATTCAATGAACTGATCCGTGAATGCTATAGGCGTTTCCATCCAGCGCACACAGTTCGAGTTTTGGATACGTGTAAACTCAGTCATTAGTGACGCAACAACCTTGGTGGGAAAAGTAATTGACTGGGGTCAACTCCTGATCATCTAGTTTCAAATTAGAGATAGTTGACATAGTCTTGCAATATCATTTTGCCGATTGAACACACAAAACACTTAACGAATGCAGCAATAGAAATTGTTAATCTGTCAGGCGCACATGATCTACTGCACTTCTAATCAGATCCCATTGTTCAGTTATTTCACCATTTTGCAAGGTCTCTCACTCGTGCAAAAGATTTTCTTCATTACGTGTTCAAGTTGCTGCGTCAGACAGAAGACCAGGGAGTTGGAGTAGAACGCATCAAGAGCACATGCAACTCACACGGCATAGAACGATCCACAACTTCATACTGATGCATACCAACTAGGTGGTAAATTTGGGTATCTTTACCCATCCAGCTGGAGCATCGGATTGAAGAACGAGACGAGAAAGAAGGGAAGGGGCGACTGACGAAGTCAGTTACCCATATCTGTTTGTTGGGGAACGAGAGCACAACGAACGCTGGGACATACCTCGGATGCGTTCAGTCTTTCAGCTGGAGCATACCGGCACAACTATCTCACATATTTTTCAGTTTTCTACAATGGGGTTGTGGTAAAACTCCTTTTATGTACAAGAATTGCAGTTAGTGGTAGCGTATGCTGAAATGATGAATCAATATCTTTTAGCGTTATTTCCTTTCGGAACGCTGATGCAAATCTGGAGCTGCATCTCACACAAGCGTCTATTGACGAGAATCTGATCGACAAATGGGGGCTCTACTTTCATCGGTCTGTACAATGTTCATACTGTGATGATCTGATGAATGAGATTTATTGTCTCCTGGATCGCACGGGAACTCTCCTGAAAGCATGATGCATTTAAGTGACCTACAGTACCCAGATCTCTAATTTGAGTCTCAGATATACAGCAAGGTTAAATAGTCAATCATTCCATCGTGCTCGTAAGGCAGGCTTGTTGACCGTCCTGCGTGTGTGTCCGTAAGTCGGGAGCCCTTTGATTCAGTGGGTCGAAGGGGGTTTCAGAAGATATAATTCACTCACTGCTGCATCTCACACAACTTTAATGGGTTAACCGCTTTGGTGAACAACAACCAAGTTGTCTGGGAGAATACTGTGTCGAAAATAGGAAGTAGGTTGTTGATAATAAACAAAAAACTTAAACTAAAGCAATCAACTTAAAATTCGATATAAGTCTGTCTACACGCATAATCCCGAGACAACTGTGCTGTAGCATCTTTCGGGTGGTTGTTATTTTATTGCCAACCCTCACGTCAACCTGCGACAGTTCTGATATGTCGTCATCCATGTGTTTGTTTACCTCTCAATATTCAAACCTGGTCCAACAAAGTCTCCTGTACGCGGAAGAAGACCGCTTGCCGGTTTCTTCGCGATCCCCACAGTGGTTGATTGTGGGTCCGTATGTTCTTTAAACATCCATAAGCGCAATTCGCGATTCTGAAACTGTCATCCGGTGGTTGTTCCTTCTCGTCTATTAGGGGAGCCATTTCGCGAAACCTTCGCCAATCCTGTACATATTTGATCATCGTCTTACTTTCACTGCAAATTTCCGTCTCTTATCTCTAATACGATCATGCACATTCTCAAAGCCTTACTCGACCATAACGCGTTTATTGCTTTTTGCTCATCTTAGATCTATGCCAAGTGTTGTCTGGGGTTTCCCAAGGATCAGCGGTCTATCCATTTACTCCTATCATTTATCATAGATTTCCCTCCGCCCAATTTTCTTCCCATTTGTTCCCCCATCGGTGACATTACCGTGTATTATGTTTTCCTGTACCCGTTGCAATTCATCAAACAACATTTTGCGTGATTAGTTTGCTCTATGCACATCACTGAATTCCGATTTAGACGGGATAGCAGCCTGTACCTTAACAGTGAAAAATGTAACGCATACAAATCGGGTTCCCGATATTGGTTTACTGTTTCTCGACTATCTATTTTTGAAGCAAAAGATAGAATTATGTTAAAGGTATACAGTGAAGTGTCCCTGATGCTGGTTGAAACTACTTTACTACTCGGGAACTTATTTTTCCCTGAGAAACGTCAGGCTCTCTGAATCTTCCTAATCAAGCAATTTTAAAACCTCTAGCAAGAAGCGGCAGACTGATTTTCACCTGAATTTTCTCATACTACTCTCCATACTTATACAGTAAGTTTTTGCACTACCGTTATCCGAATTATAAAACGTTGGGGGACGTAAATAAGCAGAAGTAAATGAAAATTTTGTGGCGTACAGAGAATCTGTATAGAATAATTTAGGCTATTCAACTGCAAGTCGGTTCCGTTAGAAATATCAACTGATAAAATTGAACACTGAAATCGAATGATGGCTCAACAGCCAATGATACAGCGCTAATTAAATCCTTCGATTATCATTGGATGACGTTTGGGGAGGGGAGAAAGACGCCCTTTCATGATACGCGAGGTTGTCAACCGTCGCGATCGAGAAAAAATCCACTGAACAGAGTTTCCCCACAGCTTCAGAAGAATCAGGTAGAGTCATCCAGTCTGGTCTGAAAGAAGAAAGAAATACACGAGAGTGAATTGCGTGTTGAACCGCAACGGTTGCAAACAAAAATATATATTGTTGCACTACTTACAAAACTCTAAGTAGGTAGACAATAAACCGCAATAATTATTCTACTAACCGACGACCGTTTTTCAAACGTCCATTTCAAGTGAACTATATCTAAAAATCCCCGTGTTGAAGTATTTGTTAAACTGTATCTAATACTGTGTTTAATTCGAATATCGCCCCATTCGCGAACTGTTATTTATGGCTTTTGAATTGCGTCGAATGTCCTCCTCCCAAAACTGCGCAGCTACCTCTCAAGGTAAAAACAATGCCAACTATCACAAGCCAAACTCAAAGAGGATTTATGAGCAGTGATAGGAAGTGCACAATTTCGCATTCGAATCAGATGTTCAGTCGATAGGTATCGTGGTAGAGCTGAAACTGCGATGCGCTATAAGCTATTTCACTCCCTCCTCTAGACAAACTGAATTTGGATCACTTTCAAACGTAATTCAAGTGGGTAAACAAAACAAAGAACGTAAGCAGGCGTTTATCTCAATCGCCAGCCTACTAACTGCATCATGTGATGATGTTAAATATAATAATTACTAATCGAAAAAGCCCTTGATTGATATCAAACAACGTAGTGTATATGTATTTCATTCATTCATTCATGCACACATGCAAGAATGAAAGCCAACCAGAGGTATTCGGCGCACAAGTTAAATATATCCACGCCCTTAATTATGAAGAATATCCGTCACCTAAAATAACAATTTTGCTAATCTCAATGTGAATATGTAGTTTTTTACCCTCATGTAAGCAGCAGGATACCGTGAGTATCCCGTGTTTGCGATAAACATTCCCTGATAAGCAGCTGTTTATTGATTGATAATTACCCAGCCCGAGCTCTTCCTTACATAGCAGATAAATGATTGAAATGTCAACTATTCCCAATTTTCATTTCGTACAGCACACACATTCTGAGCTGCTTATCTGCTTTTGTTCGCCTCGTGTGTACAGTGAGCCTTTCATCATTCAATCCTTCTTGTATTGGACAAATATGGAAGGTAACATGACCCACTTGAAGGCCGAAAAGAGTAGAGTAGTAAGGTTGGGACTGAAATAACTGAATCACACAATATTCGATCTGAACGAACAAATGTGTTGAACACCAAAATGACTGAACATTGAATCTATAATAGAGGTGTACAGAAAAAGATAGACAATATTGATCTATTTGAAAGTAAAAAAATCTGACTCAAAAAGGAATGAAGCATATAAATGGAATCAGTCATAACATGGAACCTATATTCAGAATTCGGATAAAAAGAGTGGAATTTTAACAGAAAGCAATCAATAATACACTTCTCACAGAGTGAATGCAATACCTGAGTATAATGTCGATAGTTTGGATGAAAATTGTGCAGTGCATCCACAAAAATATCTCGCGGATCGATGGACGATCGCAATCCGGCAGAGATGCTAGCTAAGGGCGCATCCGCCGCACCACGATTATCCCAGACTGTGTACTCCGACTGATCGTCATCGTTGGTCTCTCGCGGATCTGCAATATCCCATGGTAACGGTTCACCTCTCCCCTGACCCGGCACACGATCGGTGAACGCAGCGGTTCCAACTAGCAGATCGGTGCGTAGGGTTTGAAGCTTTTTGTTCACAGATGCGGATTGAGGTTTGAAGTCCACCACACCCGGGTCACCAAGTCCACTCCAGTCAGAGCCCGCATCGGGCATTTCTAGGACCAAACGAGGTGGGTGACTGTAATACAGCACAAGACAGATACCGGAAACAAAGAAGGATTATCATGGGAATAGAGTGATCAAGCGTGCGAGAGATTTAGCTAATTGAACCGAACTGAAGGGGATGTGAACAAAATAACCAGACGTCAAAAGCATTTAAGTGACATGACTCATCATGAGGCATCTCGATGCATCCTTAAACGGTGTACACATTTCGTCTTGGGAATGGGGTGTAATAAACCCAAATCATCGCAACCTCGAACCGGTGATTNCCCTGATCAGTTCATTTGTTAACCGCTGAGTGTGACTGTTTGTGAAAAGTAAACCGTTTATCCGTAAGGAACAAGACAGCTCGATAATATACCGGTCGCAATGTACGCTTAGGATTTGGGCGATATTCTGTGCCAATGAGGAAAAATAAACACGTGTGTGCAACTCAGTTTAACTTAACTTCAGACATTGTTCCCCACGTTTTTACCCAGCTTCACAAAAACGTTTCTGGGGGTCTTGCGAGCGTCAACTGAAATTTGCTCCAAATGATATTTTTTTCATTTCATGATGATCGAACTTGTACAGTTACCTTTCTTTTAAAGAACGACCCACTTCGGACGGTTGATCAGATGATAACTATCACATGGTAGATCGGTGATCCCCTCTTGGGGTTGTCCCTCCGAGGAAATTAGTAAACAAGATGGGAACTCCGGAACTGGTCAATTAGAACAACGATAAAAGTGTTCGATTACCTCGTAGCTGATACCAACAATCAAACTCCTGAATTTCCATTAAGTTTGAACCATTCTTAGTGTCTTCACTCGGCCAGATTGGCAGACCATGCGATAAGCACAAGTAGTGAGGGACAAGCTATACAATTTATTTACCTATCTATCTATCTATTTACTTACGCAACAATAAAGATAACAGAACATGAGGGGTCGATCTAGTTTCAAAAGACAGTAGTATTGTGCTATCTGATTGATGACGGTGCACTTTTATTTTTTGGCATGTACTGATTCACAGGAGAGAAAGCGTATTTCGAAAGTAAGAATAACCCGTTACGTCAGATACCCTCAAGTAACGGTAGCAACCAAAACAAAGCTTCCGGTTTGCTTTAAAAGAAAAACCGGCAACTATGTATGCAGAAACAGCACAAACCTTTCGACTAGGTGAAAGATGATATCGTATTCACTCTATCTATTTGTAAGGAAGAAAAGGTATATTCTAGTGCATTCTGGAACATGTGTGCGTGAAGGTGGATGGTAAAATAGTGTGCAATTGCATCGCTCAACTGAGGTGTTAAATGCTAACTTTGTTCACGGCTTTCATAAATTGGTATTCTGAAGAATACACAAAACACAATTTAAAATGTGTATGAAACGGAGATAGACCCTCTTGACTGGGAAAACTGTCGTGTAGAAGGATGATATGCACGCATGTAACATGCTCCATTCATCCCGTTTTTACCGGATCACAGTATTCGTTTTAGCCCGAAGTACAAACGGCAAGTGTCGTTTTACGAAGGCATAATTGAACATGTCAACACAGCATAGCGTGATAATCCGTAGTGTAAGTACTCATACAGGCATTGTGATGATCAATGTTGAGGACTGTGTCCGGGTGGACCAATCAAGGATGAGTCCAACTGGTGTGTCTGTTTCACGATCTTACTGGCCTTAGGCCAGGGCAGCAGTAGGGTCTTGACAAAATACAGATCTATCTTTGCCAATTTCAGACTCCTCTGGGAGAACCATGGGTATATTTTGTGATCGAAGGCATAATTGTTATGCTGAGTTAACATATCGCTTAACACTCGTGAGCACCTCACAACATCAACCCTGGTTATCGGGTCCGAAATCAAAGGGGATTCCGTGAGTATGTACTCCTGTACAGTCCTAAGACGACAAATCAAACACCGTGTACGGGGAGGTCAAGTTGACCCTGCATGACGGACATGGGTACACCGATAAAAGTACTTCCGTAAGCAGTTTCACACAAATAATTTATTACGCTGCTGAGGCTCAGTTTTTACTAGTTCAAAGGGGTAAAGCTTGATATTAAGGACTAAGGAATAAAAGGTGCACACCCCAAGTACAAATGGTGTGTTACGGTCAGCAGTTCTTGATACAAGTAACCGCACCGATGTTCACGAGTGGGGCGCGAATTCACCGAACGAAGTGGACCGGTTCTGGACAAAGTATACACAGACTTAAAAACACTGCCCGGTGCTGTCAAGAGATCAACAATCGTTGATGTTCAGAAAAAGAAAACAGTGTGATCGATTTGGAAAAAAAACAATGGTGACCGCGTATTTCTATGCCTTCGATGAGCGATATATTCAGCAAATTCGTTCGTAGAAAACATGGTCCGACTAAAAGGTACACACTGATTAATTATGCAGAAGCATACGTAGAAATGCATATCAGAACCGATCATGTGATCGCTCGATTGTGATAACTAGAGTTCCTCTTCAATGCATCAACAAGGAGCCATATGGTACGAGGAGGAATCGTGCTCACATGACTTCCTTAACCGTGACAAATATCGTGAGGTGAAAAAACGAAACTGAAAGTATTCAATTCACTTTCAAGCAATGCTAGACAAATCACTTTTCAAGTTATTTATGAGAGAACAAAGGGCAGTTTTCTTCCACCGGCTCAGGAAGACACTGATATTCCAAAGGAATAACATCGAAAGATGATTAGGTAACTAAGGTACGAATGAGGAGGAACGGGTTGGAATTCGAACAGCAATACTTTTGCGTGTTTCCATCGTAAACTTTGAGGTCACTTTACAAGCGGTGACGATGTCATCTGGGCTGATGATGAAACGTTTGCAAACAAATTGCCAAGCGCGGCGAACAAGCGAAATGGAATTGAGGCACTCTGTTTGTTTACCATTTATGTGCTCTCTATGGGTGTTTAGAGTGCATTGGACAGGCCGTGTAGCATTCGTGTTACTGACTTCGATTGTGAGACCTATATCACCGGTGAACGGCAATCCTTATCTATTAGACCGTAACTAGGAGGATGGGAAGAATCAACTGAGGCTTTCTTCACCACACTCTTACCACAGGTCGCGTACTAGCCATAGAATCGCTTCTTCCAGCTTTGATCAACACGTTCGAAAGGAGAGTACGGGAAGATAGGCGATGTGCACGGATGCGCGAAACCTGTCAGAGGCAACGAAGGCAGAGACAAGGACTATCAACAGATGACGACGAACATCGTCATTGTCCATCTGACATTCCAGTCAGAAGGAAGCAATACGTCGGAAACATCGGTGGTCAACCGGAGCGAGACGCCAATGAACTCAGTCACATTAAACTTGCAGTGGTGAATGACACGTTCACAGAGTAACGAATGTATCTCTCGAAACAAAATCTTTCAGATTGTTTCACATTAGAATAAATCAAAAAGTCAGTCTCTTTCATAAAGGTAAAGCCCAAAGTGAGTAACCCAGCAGAGAAATTCAGAACAACCTCAAAATCCGTGCATCGGCCGGAACCTTAAATCTATCTTCACTCAGTGAGTTCATCTTAGTTGGAACGTCCTAGGTATGGGGACGTTATCACGGTTGCATATCATCTGCAACTCCTGCGCGCATTTGGAATCGGATGTATCTTCATCACCCGCCCGGGTGTCACGATTAATAGGCCAAAGTGACATCTTTAATCATCATGTGAAGACTTGGCGCACAGCAAACAGGACCGAAAACCAAAGATAGGTGAGTGGGATTGATGAACCACTTAATGCTTTGATAGAATGGGTGCGGTGTTGAATCCCGCGAAAGCAAAGCTCTCTACCACAAAAGTTGGTTGACTGTGGCGGGGTTCAAGCCTAGTGATCCAAAGCACGCCAGTGAGAGCGAGTTGCATCGTTACTCCATAAATAAGCTGAAGCGTTACTCGAGTTGCGCAAGAACAAAGCTGACAGGATAGGACGAAATCATCGAGTATCATTCACCAGTAGAAATCAAGGGAAATGTGAATGGAATCACACGGAAGACACTGAGATTCAAGGCCTCAACAATTCAGTCACCATTTATTTTAATCCAAATGAAACGAAGCAACCGCCCTTTCGAATCTGAGACACTAATTGACACAAATTCTAGGGAAAACTCGCCAAAGGAAGACAGATTACACGCCATGTGGTAGAGCCCGGATACCTCTATAAGTTGGGTCTGTGGTCTAATTTGAAAATAGCAGAGAACCGCGGATTAGTTAGCAGCGTAGGTGGTGTCCTCGTGTGGGATCAAATCCCAGTGTGGCCATAGATCTAATCTATAAAATGATCTATTTTCGTTAAATCAGTGAGTGAATCGATTAGTCAACAAGTGGGATTTTGTGTTTCAATCTTCGAACATTCACTTGACTGCCAGGACAAAATCAGAGCATAAAACTGAGAGAAGATGGAGGTGAAACGCTCGGAGATGAGGTAGAGAGCGCTGAACTGCATTACACAATGATCAAACGTTTATGATTGAACATGAGAGAACAGAACCATAGACGTGACAATATCGGATGGTGTTCAACAAGGCTAGGACTAGACTGCGATAATGAGAGGAAGTGAAATATACAAAAAATCTTGTAACAAAATACGATGATAAGAGTAGGAAAATGGAGCACTGATATTTTCATTAGAAAAACTACATCTGATTGGAGGGAAATCACGGTAATCACAGAGAAGTACACTCGATCTAGAGTGCAGACTGCATCGGGAGGGGGAAAAAGTTCATCCCTGCTGTGATTAGACACTTAGATTCTGAACAGCGGGGATACGTCAGGGGATCGAAAACATAATGTTCATCCCGGTAAGTATTCTCCACTGATTAGAGGTTCGTCGAAGTATTAAATTCAAGTGCATTCATATTTCATAACTTTTTCCAGAAAAGGTGAACAAACATCGGACTAAGAATGGGATTACNCAAAATGCACGAAAGGGAAACAAGGTAAGACGGAAAAATATTATTGATCATCCCAAGTTGAAAGTCGACAGTTA